GGCGTTGCTACGTGACGAATCGAGTGCAGTCGTACTTTTTGCTCGCCCCCCACCCCCAGGCAGTGCCACGTTGCGAATGGAGCTGAACAGTATTTTGCTTCGCCCCCCGCGGCGCTGCCGCGTGACGAGTAGAGTGGAACAGCATTTTGTCGCCCGCTCCAGTGCTGCCACGTGGGGGCCACCCAACCAGCGGACCGACCAACCACCAGCCAACTGACTGGCCAGCCAATGATCCTGTTGCGTCGAATTGCGTTCCGCCGCGCTGCATTTGCATTGAATTCGCAGTTCATTGCGCTGCAGTGAACTACGAGCGAGGGGTAGGGCAGGAGGGAGGAGAAGGGAAGAGGGTAGAGAGGATGGGAGGAAGGAGGAGGAGGAGGAGGAGGAATGATTATGTAGGAGTGGGGAGGAGGGGAGGGGGAGAAGGGAGAAAGCGGGAGGAAGGATGGACGAGGGAGGATGGAGGGATAGTATTTCTGTTTGCTCCCTTGGCCTTCGTCGTCGTCGTCGTCGTCGTCGTCGTCGTTGTTGTCGTCGGCCTCGTCGCCGTCCTCGACGCCGTCGTGGCATGATGTTTATCTCAGCCCCCGCGGCGCTGCCGCGTGACGACTAGATTGGAGCACAACTTCTTCGCGAGCTCCAGGCGTTGCCACGTGGCGAGTGAAGTGGCACAGTACTTGCTTCGTACCACGTGGCGAATAGAGCGGGATTGAATTTTTTCGGCCTCCACGATGCTGCCGCGTGACAAGTAGAGTGGCTGGAGTGCTGTTTCTTGCGCCTCCAGGCGTTCCCACACGGCAAGCGTTTTGGCTTAGTATCTGTTTCTGCCCCCGGCGGCGATACCCCGTGACGAATACAGTGGAGTAGTATTTTCTTCCCCTCTCCAGGCGGTACCCCGTGACGAACAGAGTGCAATGGTATTGTTCTCAGCCCCCGCGGCGCTGCCACGTGACGAGTGGAGTGGAATACCATTTTGTCGCCCGCCCAGGCGCGTGGATCGGGACAGATTTGTCTGTTGCCCCCGCGGCGCTGTCACGTCACGAGGCGCACATCGCGTTACAGTGCATTGCATTGCACTGCATTGCGTTGCGTTGCATTTGTATTGCATTGCGTTGCGTTGAATTGCATTACATTGCATCGTATCGCATCGCATCGCAGCATTGCATTGCATCTTGTTGCATTACACTACGTTGCGTTTTAATTGCGTTGCATTGCATTGCATCGAATCGCATCGCATCGCATCGCATCGCATTACATTACATCCTTTTGCGTTGCATTACATTGCATTGCGTTGCACTTGCATGGCAGTTGCAATACGTTGCATTGCAGTAAATTGCGGGCGAGGGGGATGAGGAGGAAGACAGGGAGGGAGGAGAGTGGAGGAAGGTACAGAGACGAGTGGGGGAAGGAGGAGGAGTGAGGAGGGAGAATGAGTGGGAGGGGAGGGGGAGTGGAGGGGAGAACCGGCCATCCATCCGGGCAAGCGGGCAACGGGCCACCGGGGAACCCAACCAACCAATCAACCAATTACCCAACCGACCAACCACCAGCCAACCAATTGGCCAACCAACGAACCAACTGCCCAACCAATCAACCAACCAACCTGCCAGCCAGCCAAGCAAGCAACCAACCAAACAGCCCATCAACCAACGATCCACCCCATCGCCTCGGAAAGTTTTTTTTGATCTGGAAACCGCTGAGCCAACCAGCCAGCCAACCAGCCAGCCAACCAGTCCTTCATTGGCGTTTTCGGAGAATGTCCCACGCGGTGGGGCGGTGCTATTTTTCTGTTACTGTTTTTTGCAGAGGAAGATTTTTTTGCCCCTGAAGGAAAACATTGTTTTGACCCTTCGTCCCTCGGGGCCCTCTTGGGGCCGTCCTGGGTGCTTCTTGGGGCGTCTTGGGTCCATATCGAAGGCCTTTTGGTCGCTCTTGAACCGATCTTGATGGCCGCTTGAGCCGTTTTGGGCCGCGGGACTGTAAGGGAGCCATCTAAGGTGATTACAGGATGGGCTTGCATACTATCATCCCGCCGAAATCTGGTCTTGGGTGCCGAGGGTACGTGCGCCCTCTTTGCCAGTACACGATGTGTCTTTCATGTGCGAGGTAGATACCTCATATCCATCCTACCCATCTACATGTTCCGTTCTTTAGACCGACCGCGGTATGATGGACGACAGACGAGAAGAGTATCTCCGACTCGGTAGCAGAGCTGGCCTTCCACGACTGGGTCCCGACTTTTCAAGCCTGCTCTACACGACCCAGTGCGCTCTACCTGCGCCGACTCTCCGAACGTGATTTCCGAGGAGGTACTCATGTATGATCTGAGGTGGAGCACTAAGGCCGCCCATCATATACATTCGGAAACGACCAGTCTGATCTATTCGAGGCACGATGTCTACGGTCACTCGGAGTCGGATCTGTGCAAGGTTCGGGCATGCCATTCAGCGACGCCACATTCTGTCTCAACAACAAGCGGGGTCCTACAACCTGCACGCTTGGAAGCAAGCTGCTTAGAAGCAGTCCACTTCAAGGGGAACCTGACAACATAACCCCAAAGAGCATCCGACGGTTCAGGACCATAGTTATGGCCAATTAAGCCCTGAATTTTCCAGTACCTTTAGGCTTTACCATCTTTGCAGCCTTTTGGCTTGCACTTGAACCGCTGCCGGCTACGTGCGCATAGTACATGACAGTGTCGTCTTTCGGAGGAAAGAAACGTATCTTTCCGACTCTGGGCGACGGAAGCCAATGCGTGGCTCAACGTCACGAGCGGACGCATGACCCCGCGACGACAGGCTGCTGCGCTCCAGCGCGGCCCAGGTGGCGCAGCCCGAACCCCGCGCAACGTCATCAATTACGGAGTTGAGAGAGACGGGTCCCGAACGGATGCCGTCACCCATCTCATGCTCAGTCCGAGTACATTATTTCGTTCCCATTTCTCGGCGCACCCCTCACATGCTTCGTGGCCCCCATAGGGAGCTCCACCAAAGGCCCGAAAAGCAGCGCCCGCATGCGGTTCCACCCCCCGCTTCGGCGCAACCTTCACACGCTGTGTGGCCCCAGCCAACGGGAGCTCCACCGAGGGCCCCAGTGTCAGCGTCCGCGTGCGGTTCCACCCCCAATCTCGTCGCACCCCTCACAGGTTCCGTGGCCCCATAGAGAGCACCACCGAAGGCCTCAGCGGCAGCGCCCGCATGCGGTTCATTTTGATTTCGGCGCACCCCTCATACGTTTCGTGGCTTCATACGGAGCTCCACCGAAGGCCCCAGAGTCAGCGCCCGCGTGCGGTTCCAGTTTGATTTCGGCGCGCTCATCACACGTTTGGTGGCCCCATAGGGAGCTCCACCGAAGGCCCCAGTGTCAGCGCCTGCGTGCGGTTGGACCCTCCGATTTCGGCGCGCCCTTCACATGCTTCGTGGCCCCATAGGGATCTTCACAGGGATCTTCTCCAGAAACCTCCGTGTCAGCGCCCGCGTGCGGGTCCACCCCCAATTTCGGCGCAACCGTTCGCACGTTTCGTTAACCCATATAGATTTCCATCGAATGCCCCAATGGCAGCGCAAGCATGCGGTTGCACCCCGCGCACCCCTCATACGTTTCGTGGCCCCATAGGGAGCTCCACCGAAGGCCCTAGTGGCAGCGCCCGCATGCGGTTCCATTTTGGTTTCGGCGCGCCCCTCACACGCTTCGTGGCCCCCATAGGGAGCTCCACCCAAGGCCCCTAAAGCAGCGCCCGCATGTGGTTCCACCCCGCACTTCGGCGCGCCCCTCATACGCTTTGTGGCCCCATCGGGAGCTCCACGCAACGCCCACATGCGGTTTCGCCCCCCAGTTGAGCGCACCCCAGACACGTTTCGTGGCCCCAGGGGATTCCACCGGCGGCTCCCGTGGCAGCGCCCTCATGGCGTACCCGTGCCCATTTTGGCACACCCGTCACGTGCGTCTTGGTCCCATAGAAAGGATCATCGAAGACGATACCCACAATGGCGTCCTTCATAACTGCACATGGCTGGGCCCTTCGCCAGGATACTCTAAACTGGATGTGCGCGGCGCTAAGGCGAGAGCCACATTTTGAAGACGACCCGCCGTCCAGCCGTGAAGCTGCTGCACACTCTGAGCTTCAGGAACACAAACTGGTGAGGACGTCTTGGACGAAGCGCCCGGCCGACTTCGGGGTGCGACATGGACGAGTTCGCTATGAGGAAAAAGGACCGGAGGGGGAACCGGGGGAGGTCAGGGAGGGAAGGGGTGGGGGAGGGGGAGGCAGCCGGTGGCTGCGGGGGTGGGGGTGGGTGGGTCGGGCGCGAAGACGGAGCAAGCTCCCCCTCTCCCCTTCTTCTCGGGCACGGCACAACTTGCGGCGTGATCAAATGAACCATACCAACAATACTTTGGGGCGATGCGCTAGACGCGTCATCTAGGCAGCGAAGCAAGTAAATGTAGCTTCGCCCCGAGTTTTGAACCCCCCTTCTGCGAGTCTCTTGAGACACTTGGTCGCCCAGTTCCCTTTCCCTCCCCTTCCTTGCTCCTCCTTCTGTTCCTCCGTCCCCTCTCTTCCTCCCCCTCTTCTCTCCTCCCTCCTCCTCCTTCTCCTCTCCTCCTCCTTGTGCTGTCGTTCGTCCCTCTTTCTCCGCCCCTGCCTCCGCCTTCCTCTTCTTTTTCTGTTTTCTGCTCCTCCTTCTCCTCGCTCCTGGTTCCTGATGGCATGAGGTCCCTGCGGGTGCTGCCCTCCCTTCTCCTGGTGCTTTTTCTTCCCCTCCTCCTCCACCTCCTGTTCCTCCTCATCCTCCTTCCTCTGTCTCACTCCGTCTTCTTCTCCTCGCTCTCTTCCTCTTGGTCCTCTTCCTCCTCTTCCTCCTTCTCCGCCCTTCTCCCCCTCCTCCTCCACCTCCTCCTTATCCTCGCCCTCCTCCTCCTCCTCCTCCTCCTCCTCCTCCTCCTCCTCCTCCCCTCTGGCCGCTCTGTCTCCCACCCACCGACCGCGCGCCCCTCTCCAG